AAGTCGTGGAATCGAGAGTTGCAGGTGAGTTGCAGTCGTCTTGTTCGAAGCACGAAAAAAGCGCAGTGAGGGTGTCTTTTCATATTCCGTATGTGTTACACATCAACACGGCCACAAGCTATCATAAGTGGAACAGCATATAGTCGGATATCATCGCTAACAAGTAACCCGCAGTTATCTTTGAATTTTAGTTCATATGTAGAATTTGCGTCCACGTAAAAGTGGTAATACCGTGTTAACCGTGAGAGGCAGGATAAGTGGGGTCATCTGGAGGTGCAAAAAAGTACCTGGCAAGCAGGAAACATGTTCTATTTTTCCGCTGATGCTCATTCACCATAACTATATTGCATTGACCCCTCTGCGTATACCTGAATGATTTGCACGCCAAAACACACCAATATAGCTAACTGAGACATACGAGCGAACATGGCTGAAGCGTGCATTCTTGGGCACCTCTGCAGTGCTGCTTGGAACGGTGTCCATTTCGGAATCAATGTTCTGCAAAAGGTCGATTGAAGAAAAAATAATTTGTGACGTCGTGAATCGCGGGAATTTCACGCTCCAGACTATCGTATAGAACCCCAGTCGACACTTTGTACGGCAACGACAGCAATGCAGGTGACAAGGCATGACTGAATATGTCCGTCTAGCAGACGAAATGTTTGCAGGGCAGCTGAGCCTGACGTCACTCTTCTCTGTGGAGGTGTGGCGTGATCTGGAGGTGACCGCGAGGTAGCGCCACTGCTGATACTTCCAGCGCTAGAAATGGTGGGATTGCCGGCCGTTTTGATTAGTGCTAGATACCAGTGATATAAATCAATAAAAGTGATAGTCATTCATCCCACAGTTGCGTTTCAGGTCGCGAATCTCTGCTACGGTGTCTATAGCTAATCGCTGATGCAAAAACCTTGGCATGAGCAAATTTGTTGTCAGTGCTCCTTTAATGATTGTCTCCCGAGAAGCGCTGCGAATCCTAATAAATGACAGGAAAATTTTGACGAAAAATGACACTTTTGTCGTATGGATCCCCGCACACACACAAACCCCGCTGGCCGGCAATGTGGGGGTGCACGCGGTGGCTCGAGAGCTCACAAATTGAGCCGTTGCGGAATGCCGGCGCTGCCTCGATGGAAGTTCTATGCTGGGCAGAGTAGGAATGGGAGGGCTGCATAACTAGTTACCATAAAATAACACAGCACTATAAGCTAGGAAGGTGCAAGTATCCTCTGCCTCACAACAAATTAAATCCTCTGCCACACAAAAATTAAAATCCTCTGCCACACAACAAATTAAATCCTCTGCCACACAACAAATAAATAAAAACGGGCAGTTGCGTGGTGACAACTGCAAACGCATACCGTATGTATCTGAACCCAGTTCTCTTTCGTCTGTTACCCTGATCTGTATTTCACAGGAAAATACAAGGTTTGCAATGTAAGGGCAACACTGGGAATGTTCGAGTTTAGATGCCAGAACAGACAAAAACCACGAAGAGGCAGTCTCAGGTCTCAAGACGCGCTGGGGGGAGACTCTGCTCAGCTCCTTATAGAACAACTGTGGGCCGTCTAGCGTGCTGAGGAAGCCACCCGCGCCTAAGGGCTCGTGGCTGATGCCTAGGCTAAGGCTAAGGCTGGCCTCAAATTTATTCACAGTTGAAATTTATAACAATTTGGATGGTTCACTTCATGCATTGACTTATGAAAAGTTTGTTGAGAAACTACCTTACACCATCACCTTTTGATGTGTTTTTTTCCAATCTTAGTGGTTGTTCTTTTTATTTATATACAGTAACATCTGTAACCACAACTGATGAATGACTTCATTGAACAGTTTATAGAGGCATATCTCATTTTAATCTCTTACCACAATCTTAGCATTTCTTCTTTTATCGTTTTCACTAAAATATGTGCCCAATCCTTCTATACCTTAATTTTGAGACAGCAGTATTTTAAAATAAATAAAATGTCTTGTCAAGTTCACCGTACAGGTACTGACTGCTATTTATCGCCAGAAATGGAGGCACTTAATCTAATTCTTGTATCAAACTCCGAAACAATCCAAATAATATTGGAAATTTACATCCTCCTAATATTAGACGAGTTTCAAAACTGGGAAATTGTCTCGTGTATCACCCTCTGGATCTCCGATGGACACTGATTGGAGTAGTCCTACAGCCGTGTTTCATGCAATAAACGCCAGTAAGTACATTTTATGGACCATGCGAGTGTATAGCCTCTTCATAACAGTTCCACTACATCAGCGGCTATAGATAACCCTGCTCCGCTTTAGACTGATGCCCTTCTTAATTCTGATTTCTCACTCCCTACAAGTATTGCCTTTCTTCGCTAGACACAAATTGCACATAATCGGCGCAGTAGAATATCCTATGGATGCACCACTATCTTGATATGCATCATGATTCCATTCTACATAAATGGAGGAGGAATAGGTACCTAGTTACAGGTCAAGAAAACTGCTAACACTAGTGGCTAAGGTACTCTGCTGCTGACCCGCACGTCACGGGTTCGGATCCAGGCTGCGGCGGCTGCATTTCCGATGGAGGCGGAAATGTTGTAGGCCCGTGTGCTCAGATTTGGGTGCACGTTAAAGAACCCTAAGTGGTCGAAATTTACGGAGCCCTCCACTATGGCGTCTCTCCTAATCGTATGGTGGTTTTGGGACGTTAAACCCCACAAATCAATCGGAAAACTGCTAACACTGGCACCAGCCACTTTCTGGAATGGTAAGTTGCCGAGTATATCAACCCATGATTGCAGAGTGTCATAAGCTTGACTTGCTAGCTACTACCAGTCCTTACTCTACCTGTTCAGAATGGAATGATGACTCATATCAAAATGGTGATGTTTCCATACGATCTTCTATTGTATCGATACTGAGCGACTTGTTGCCAGCAAAGTTCGACAGGAACTTGAAAGAGCAGCTGAACTGTGATGAAGGCATGAGAATTTTCAGGTTTGTTGACAACTACCTGGTAGTTTTTAAAGAGGCCCTGCAACGCTTTTTCGTCTGCATTCTGCAGAACTAGAGTGTGTAGTGCCGAATACCAAGACAAACGCGAAAAGAATTACTGAAATCTGTACACGGTTACTGAATTTATTAGCTTTTAAACTTCATAACCCTAACAGATAAAAAAAATATTCCCTTACGCATTTCACCCTCCCACTGGTGTCTAAGGCCATTTACAATCACCGCGCGCTTCTCACAGAGACCTAGCGAATGACTCGGCTCATGAAGGCCATTGTGCAGCACTCTTAGTGTCGATGTGCAATTGTTTTCACATTCTTATATTTAGAAACAGAAATTGTTTTGTATCTTAGGAAGTGCCAACAGGGCTTTTATAATTTTTAGTGCACAATAACGAGACCTATCTTGGACCATTTGAATACTTCGTGCAACTTGTGTCGAACGAATCAAAACACATGGCCTGTGTCGTCACTCACACATGGTGAAGCATCACTTCCGATAAAAAGAATAGTCACTGTGTGTTGCTCTAGATTGAATACAGTGTGGCTGTTTTGTAGGAATAAAATTATAACAGCTTTGTTTTTGGCTTTGCCACTCGCACAATGATGTCAATGAATACCATAGTTCGAGAAGAAGCTATGAAAACAACATGCTTAGTTTGTGTCGCAAGGCCATCTTAAGTGTGAAACAGCTAGCGTAACCGACATCTCATCAAATCTCATTTCTACCTTTAGAATGTGCTTTATTCCTTTTGTCCTGACCCTCAAACTGCTAGTGAACAACTCGATTCACTTATTATACTTGAAACTTTTGTTCAGCGCAAATCGTACATGCTGGATGTATGAGCCTCGTGCCATGAAGCGCCTTCTAGTTTTTAATCGGGCCACAACAAGTTGGTTAAAAGAGGCATAGTGAACTGTTGGTTCACTAATGCGCTGGACCTATCCTGTTTTGATATGATAGACGCCAGCTCCCAAGCAATCAAGTGGTTCAGCTAAGAGAGGCTGGCTACCCGGATTGGCTTCTCATTTCTGTGGCTGAAGCCATAAAAAAGAAAAAGCCCGAAAAAGAAGCTAGTGCTGATGACATTCACCCAGACGTAAGCAAATGCGACGCAGTCACTGCTATTTGATTCCTGCACCAGCTATCGCACTGAATGAAAAAGGTGGGTCAATGCATAGGTGAGCAGGTAGCTTCTTTAGCATCTTACAAGCCCTCCCAACTAGCCAGAATGACATCTGCTAGTAACAAGACCAAACACTCCTGCAATGTCAGGCACAAAACCCAGTTTGTCAGATGTCACTTGAATATAATCTAATTATTTCGTTATCATGCTGTGCATGTTACAATAGGAAGATGCCTTAATGAGCGGCTTGCAAGAGCATGCGTGTAATGCACGCAGTGGCAATGAGTTTCTTGGTGCAGCATGTTGGCAAGTGTGGTTGCCATGTGCAGTTTGAAAGCACTGTTGTAATGAATAGGCACAAAGGCTATTGTACCCATATAATAATTGAAGCCGAGAAAATAGTGTGGGAACCTGACAACTGGATCACCAAACTGTCCATTTCTCTCCTAAATGAAGAGCTACAGTTCTTGGCAAATGATGCTCATGGCTAATGAGTCTACTTTTTACCTCTTGTATCGGGTGTACAAATTTTGTTTTTTATTGGTTGTTTCACAGCTAATTTTTCTTTTTCCTGTTTTAGCCATATCTTTGTGGTATAGGCAAAATAAACCTTCACCTGATTGTCTTTGCTTGTCCTCGTCTACTTGTCGTGCGTTTTTTCAATTGCGCTTTATACATCGATCATGAATCGCCGACTGGCCTAATGGTCCACTTTGATTAGGGGACACTAGGTTGGTTCACGTGGTCATCTGTAACCCGTTGCGGTTGACTCTACACAGTGTCTGACAGTTTTATTCTTTGTGGGGAAGTTTTCAGGGTGGAAGGTGGTCACGCAGGTGTGGACTCTATCGAATGCTGTTTCCATGCATCTGAGTCTGTTGTCTCGCAGATCTTGCGCAACCCGGCACACAGCCACTGGAGCCTTACGTGTATGACCAGCGGGTGACAGTGGACGGTGACAAGGTGCATACGGACACCTACTATGCCATGCCTACAGTGAAGGAGGTGCAGTCGGGCCACCGCACCACCATCCCTGCCCCACCGAAGTACGAAGGCATTGGGCCCACCATAAATGGCATCCCTGTAGGATTGCGCACCGTGAGTAAAAGAAAACAGCTTACGGACCAGAGTGTTTCTGCATATGTAAGTGACAGAACCATATGTACTAAGCTCCTGAGTCGATGAATTGCAAGCTCACCAACCTAGCCTAGTGATGTTGGGGCCCACAAAGGTGCAGACTTAGGCTTTTTTTTTCTATTTCAAGTAAAAATTTAATTATAAGTCTTCTCGTTCAAGAAGTAATTCGTTCAGCAGTGAGCATTTTATACATTTATATTGTACTTGCTCAATATCATTCCAAGTAAGGATTGGTTAGTTAGTTTTACACTGGTCTTGTTTGGTAAATCAGGGCTATGTGCACAATGAGGAAGAAGAGAAACAATTCAGCATAATTTAGATTTTTTCGTGGTCTTCTTTGGTGCATTAGGACTACGTGCATGAAGAGGATAAAAAGAAAAAATTTATTTAGCGTAACGTTTTTTCAACTAGTGAGCGAGTTAAAAATATGCAGTGTGTCGTCCTGCCAACAGCATAATGTTAGGTTTCATATCTTGAAAAGTGAACTTGTCAGCCTGTTGGTTGAACATATCTTAGGGGAAACAGTGCAAAATACCAGGACAGTAAAGGCACGCATACAACCACACATACCACTGACTGGCAACTGATGTTTATTGCGGTGAAGAAACTAAATGAAAAAAATCAACGTACTAGCTGTCATTATATTCAACAGCAAAGCGAAGTTGAATATAATGACAATTACTGCTGCCAGTGCAAAAAAATGAAGAAAAAAAACTATCTTGTGGTCAGCTAAAGTGCATGCCTGCAAAAAAGACTTGCTTTACAGCAACAGAGCGATGACACGCGAGGAGCGTGTTGCCTGTTCCTTGCAGCGTCGTGCTGCGCTCATTTGCCCATTCTTTCTGGTAAAAAAAAAAAAAAATAATTTATTTACCAGAAAGGGGCAATGGTGTGATGAAATTCACAATGCGTTTTGGCTGGAAAACACAGTGATGGAAGTGCTGCTCCTATTGTGCCAAACTGCCCCAAAACAGAAATGCCGCTCCACACTGCTCCAAGTAGCCTTGTTCTGAGCGGAGGGGGTGGGGGTGTTTGTGCCATAGGTGTGGCAAAGTGGCATTTCCAAAGAATGTGGTAGCCTTTTAACTCTGTAGTAAAAATTGAGACTGAATACGAACTTTTAATATCATCTCTATTTACATATCCAAGCCAAGCCTGCTTGTAAGCCTACTAGCTGCCTGCTGCGATTGTCCACGACCTCTTCCATGTTCGTTGTCATGGCATATTTTGAATTCCTGCCCCGCCGCGGTGGTCTAGTGGCTAAGGTACTCGGTTGCTAACCCGCAGGTCGTCGTAACGAATCCCGGCTTCGGCCGCTGCATTTTTGATGGAGACGAAAATGTTGCAGGCCCGTGTGCTCAGATTTGGGTGCAGGTTAAAGAACCACAGAGGGTCCAAATTTCCGGAGACCTCCACTATGGCGTCTCTCATAATCATATGGTGGTTTTGGGACGTTAAACCCCAGAAATCAATCATTTTGAATTCCTGGCACTGCAGTGCACGCGAGGGAGAAAAAAAAAGGACAAGGAGAAAACCAGCGGGCTCTGCTGGGAGCGCTTGCGCACTCCTAAAGTTATTTGGCTGAGCATGCGCGTGCGAGTTTACAAATGCACACGCACAGAAAAGTTTTTGCGACTGTTCCGTCGTACGGAAGTACCCTCATCATGTCGCAGATTTGCACGCTGAGATTGCATGCGAGTGAGTTCTGATAGGGTGATAGTTTAGATGAAGCATTGTGATTTCGACTTTCAATGTGAAGTGCCTCTGTGTCGATCTGTGCTCAGACGGCGATGCAAATGAGTGGATTGCCAGCTAGATTCGGGCAACTTATGCAACCTGAATCATCGAGGAAATCCAGAATCTATAGAGGAAAGTTTACATGTCTGGTGCTTTTACAAGCGGTGAATAGACGTCTGATAACATTTGACGATGTCAATGCTATAAGTACGAAGCCACATAATGGGTATAAGTGTTACCAAAAGGGGAACTGTCACGTCGGCCTCCACATCGACCTCCTGCTTCTTCGTTTACACGGGGCTACTGTTGGTTGTGAAAAACATGTGGGTTATTTACGTCCAGGGTGTATTTCGATAGGGAGAATGCTGAATGCTACATGCTACGCGTTCGCTACTCATACTGAAAGGAATGACATTGTGTTTGTAATTGAATGCTACCAAATCATTATCATCATCGGCCTGACTGCGCCCACTGCAAGGTAAAGGTCTCTCCCAAGATCCGCCTATCAACCCTGTCTTGTGCTTTTTGCTGCTACATTATACCCATGATCTTGTCGGCCCTCCTAACTTTCTGTCTCCCCCTCGCCCGTTTGCTTTCGCTGGGAATCCGCTCGGTTACCCTTAAGGACCAGTGGTTATCTTGTCTACGTGCTACGAGCCCGGCCCATGTCCATTTCTTCTTCTTGATTTCAACTATGATATCCTTAACCCCGTTTGTTCCCTGATCCACTCTGCTCACTTCTTGTCTCTTAAGGTTACACCTATCCATCGCTCGCTGCGTGGTCCTCAATTGAAGCTGCCAAGATATTGTGCATTAAAGTTGCAGCTGTAGTGTGTAAGTGCCAATTCTGAAATCAATAAAAGTGTCACTGACTAGTACGATTGGTGCATTTGAAATGTTGTTTGCAACTGAAACCAAAAGCCCTATGTTGTCATTGCAAAGTTTGATGATACTGTGAGATTATTTTTTTTTATTTTTGGAAAGCAATGACTGAAATAAGTGTCCATTTAACATTGCTTAACTGCGGAAAATTTTTTTTATCACCAGCTTTTGCTATTTGTGGTGCTGTCGTGCATTTGGCTCATTCAGATGTTTGAGTTGCAAATATGGCATTCTTCTCATCATGCCTTTCAGATTGTACCACAGACAATGCATTCCTGAAGCAATAACCTCCCTAGCATATGACCAAAAAATCTTTGAATTTTCTATGGTTGATTATCGAGCATTCGTGCCCCCATTTAACGTGTCTAAAGTCAGTCTTTGTCTTGGACCACGGCCATTCTAGTTTTGATGGCTCAGGTGCTAAGTGAGGTTTTAAATTTCTATACTTTGCAGGGCGGTCACAAAAGAGCCCGCAAAGCTTCTTCATGAAATACATTTAGGTGCCGAAAAGTCAACAAAGGCAAAATATGAGTATGGCTCTAGTTTGTGAAAGCTAATATGTCTTGACGAAGGGAACTTTGGTTCGCAAATCTTGTTGGATTGTTTTATCAACCTAAATTGCTGCAGCTTTTCCTAAAGAATAACATGTTTCTATGCTTCAAGGCCTTTAGATCGATGCCATCACTACTGCTTGATAAGAAGGGTAATTATATGCTGAGCACAAAAACATTAAACTGACAAGTTTATTGCTAGTGGCTTTGAAATGAGTGCCATGCAGAAATCTGTTTTTATACTAATAATGCAGAGTTAATGTGCATATTACTAGGAGCATAGTGTGTTAAAGATGGTAAAGTCTTGCATGCTGCACAAGTGTCTCAGAAACATTCATTTTGTGATTAACTTTGTACTATGGCAGCTTTAGGTCTGTAAGCCCTGCATCCAAGCTCATGGTGCTCATTCCACACACACATGGTCTAGCCAGCTTCAAGCTGTTGCCTTGTGGGCATAAAAGTGGTCATAAATCTCATGTTAGTGCTTAGACATGCATGGATAAAAGCTGGAACACTGCTGGCTGCTTTTCTGGGCAGTGGAAGAATGACTACTGGGAAGAACACTTTAGAGGAATTTTTTCATCTGTTTTTATTTTCTTTGTTAGACACAATAATAATAAAAATGCCAATGATTAACACTGAAGATGAGGGAAGTAGAGGGGATGTTATGTGTAATTCATCATCATCATCGGCCTAACTACACCCACTGCTGGACGAAGGCTTCTCCCATGTTCTGCCAGTCTGTGCTTGCTGCTGCCACTTAATACCCGCAAACTTCCCAGTAGCATCTGCCCACCTAACGTAGCGTGTATTAGCACAGTACATAAAAGAAAGGGACATGACACAGATGTAGACATAGGTAGGCGCTAAACTTCCAACTGTTTATTTCATGCCAAGCACACCCATTTTATACATTCGCGACAAAGCAGAACTAATCTTGCACGTGTTCTTAAACCAAGGAACGTTATTTCCTTTTCTGACAAGGAAATCGATGACGAGCTTACACACAAATGGCCTAATTCTTCTGTAGCCTCGGCTTCTTTTATCTCCCGTGTGAGCCGATCTCTAGAACGACCGATAACTATGCAACTATACAGATCAGGGGAGCACCCACAGCCTTTGCAGTGTACCGCCAGAAATCCTCCCACCGTAAGCTTATTTTTCGCGTTATAGCAGTGCTCGTGTAATCTGTCATTGAGACACCGTTTTGTTTGCCCAATATAGTACATCCCGCAGGATGTACTATATTAGGGCCTACTTATCTCTACGTCTGTGTCGTGTCCCTTTCTTTTATGTACTGCGCTAATGCACGCTACGTTCATGGATTACCAACTCGCCCGATCAGCAACCTTTCTGCCCACCTAACTTTCTGTCTCCCCCGAACCCGCTTGCCTTCTCTTGGAATTCAGTCTGTGATGCTTAATTATCAGCGGTTATCTTGCCTTCTATGTACGGGCCCTGCCCATGACCAATTCTTCTTGATTTCGACTATGATGTCCTTAACACCTGTTTGTTCCCTGATACACTCTGCTCTCTTCTGGTCTCTTAAGGTTGCACCTATCATTTTCCATTCATTCATTCATTTTATTACCTCAAAGGTCCCGGTTGGGATATTACATGAGGGAGTGGGTATTACAAAGGCTAACAATATAATGGTAGTTATGATGGGATAGTTTCGATGAGCCGTTTAAATGCTTGGGTGTCGATGATGGTGGTGACTTCGGTGAGCAGGTCATTCTAGTCTTGGGCTGTGCGCAGGAAAAACGATTGATGAAAGGTCACAGTATGGGC